ATATATATATATATATATATATATATATATATATATATATAAAGTTTTTGAAAATTTTATTTTAAAAATCAAAGATGGAAAATAGAAAGTGTCTATAATAAAATTATTTGAGTTTAGTTTAAAATAAAATGTTAAGATATGAAGACAAAAGGGGTTCTATGGTCTAGTGGTTAGGACATTGGACTCTGAATCCAATAGCCCGAGTTCAAGTCTCGGTAGAACCTAAATATTTTTTCAAATTTTTTGGTTTAACACTTAAATCTCAATTTTTAAAAACTGGACAAGTAAAAATAAATATTTTTTTTCACGTGGGGGTACTTTGATACATTTGACATAAGTTTTTTTTTTTCTTAACTCCGTTTTAAGTCAAATTAGACCTTTTTTTTAAAACGGAGAGAATAATAAGCAAGTAAACACACATGTCTTATGTATTACATTATGCATAAAATACCTTATAAAATAAATTGTTTCAAAATGAATATATATATTTGAGCTAAAAATATTGAGTTCGGTTTAATACGTAAAACATTTTCTTTTTTTTTCTAGGAGTAACCCCACCCCTCAAATACCTACAAAAAGTAAATTCATTTCCCATTCAAACTTGTTTTTTTTCTTCTTCTGCAATAACAAACCAATCATGTCAGCAGTCAACAATTTTGCTACTCATATCCTCTCTTCTTCCTCAAAAAGATCCTTTCAAGAATCCAGAAAGACTCAAACTTTATCCATCAACTTTTCTCCAACTTTCACCATACATAATATACCAAAAACCCCATCAAGAACAAGTCTTGTTTGTTCAATAAATGCTGTGACAGAAGATAAAGAAGCAGAGGCCAACCAAGAAAATGAAAAGAAAGAATCAAATGGAACTGAAATTGAAGAAAAAATCAAGAATAGCTTCTTGTACATTTTGTTGGATAAAGATAGGTTTTTTAATGCTTCAATTGTGCTTGGTGCTGGTACACTTGCTGTCACAAGGTTACTCACCATAGATCATGAGTATTGGCATGTAAGTTCTATCATTTTGATCTTGTTTGCTTTTGGATATTTCATATCTGGAAAGGAAAAAAAAGGGGGGGGGTGCCCCCTTGTGTGATTTCAGAATTGGAATTAGGATTTGAAGTTTATGTATTCGTTTGCTTGTGTTTACTAGTTAGTGGATTTGTAATTAAATATGTTTTGTCTCGTTTTGACTTGACATAATGACTTTTGACTGTTGTGGCTTATAGTAAAGATATGTAGATTATATCAAAATGTCTTTCGATCACGTAGAAAGAATTAAAGAGTTGATGAAGAAAGAAAGAACATCCGTTTTGAAACGGACTAAAAAGGAAAGTATGCTAAACAAATTGACGAGGAAAGAATATATATATTTTATGGATTTTCTTCTGTACTGGTGATCATAAAGGTAATAGTAGAATTGGCTTTGTCACTGGGATAAATGATGACAAAAGGAATGAACTAAGTTTACTGAACTGATAAATTAAGTAAATAGAAGTTTATACTTCATAGCAATTTAAGCTTTTAGATGAAATAGTCACAAAATACGACATGCTAACAAGGCTGGGTTAAGGTCTAAATCTCACCGCCGCCCTTTATCAAAAACAACTTTTGCGTCCTTGAACCGTGAAGAAGAATCAGGTAAAACAACTTTTACGTCCTTGAACCGTGGAGAAGAATCAGGTCTGGATGTGAGGGCGCGAGTTGAAGATATATAATTAAGTAAATAAAAGTGTAGTGTCTCTGACATGATCGCACAATTCAACATATAGTAGCCTGCTCCCCCGTATGGTTTTAATTTTATTGATTGTGTACTCAGGGATGGACCCTTTACGAGATACTGAGGTATGCCCCGGAGCACAACTGGATTGCATATGAAGAAGCGCTGAAAGCAAATCCTGTGTTGGCTAAAATGGCGATTAGTGGTATTGTCTACTCTGTAGGAGACTGGACCGCTCAAGTAAGTACCGTCTGATAGTTACACATAGTTATCTTTTAAGTGATTTGACAGTGTAAAACTTTTGTATACCATCAGTTTGTGGAAGTTAAACTCTTCCGAAATATTGAGAGCTGTTTTCATTAATCTAAATTGTTTCATTTTGTTCTGTTGATTTACAGTGCTATGAAGGAAAGCCTCTTCTTGAATTTGACCGGACTCGCATGTTTAGATCTGGTCTTGTTGGATTTTCACTTCATGGTTCCCTTTCCCACTACTATTACCAATTTTGTGAGGTGATGCTTCTGGCTTGTATCTTGAATGAACAGCCATATCTTTTGACATATTTTGATGAAACCTAAAAGGTTCAACTCTAATGTACAGGCTCTTTTCCCGTCCAACGATTGGTGGGTGGTTCCAGCTAAAGTTGCTTTTGACCAAACCATTTGGTCAGCAATTTGGAATAGCATCTATTTTGTTGTCCTTGGTTTCTTGCGTCTCGAATCTGCATCCAATATTTTTGGCGAACTTAGAGCCACGTTTTTGCCCATGTTAACAGTAAGGCATTCTTTCGGTCTATCTTAAATGATTGCAATATTTAATGATCTGGAGATGAATATAGCTATAACCGGGTATTATTAGCTCAAGATTTTTGACTTGGTTTTCGCTGTTTCAGCGGAAGTTAGTCCATGTTACTGTTTGATCTGTTAAAATTTGGTTTGATATGAAGCTGAATATATCTTCAATGCCAATATATTGTTGTCTTTTTTTGTTTTATGATTTATCCTTTTTATCATTGCCATGAGGTACTGGAAATCCTAAGAATAATGATACTGATCAATGCTAATCGAGAGATCTAATATGACCTGCATGTTTCTAACGAAGAAAATGTTTCAGCGGCCTGATTTCCATCTTCCAATCCACCAAAAGGAGAAAAGTTAAATTTTACTACTCATAAAAGAAAGAAGATGTTTGACATCATGAGCACAGAAAGTACTCCATGTCTTTTCGTTTACCTATATTATTGTGTAAAGCTATTTAAATTTGAAGTTTTGGATTGATATGTCATTTCAGATGAACCACAAAACGTTTCGAGACTGTTCTTCTCTTAATACAACTCTTTGTTGTTCTGGTACTTGTATAAAACTCTAGTTTAGCAGAGATGATTTCTTTGAGAATACCAAATCAGTTCTTATATCTTTCAGGCAGGGTGGAAACTTTGGCCATTTGCTCACCTAATAACTTACGGCGTTATTCCTCTTGAGCAAAGACTCCTTTGGGTGGACTGTGTCGAACTGGTTTGGGTTACTATTCTCTCGACGTGAGTTTCTGATTCAACTTTACGATTGCTTTCATATAACCAGTGACAAAATTAGTTGTGGAAATTGTCTGTATTCTTATCGTTACCAATATAAAGAACGAACTTACAAGGACATTATATAGACACACCACAGACGTTGCTTCTGTTTCTTTTTAACTTCATCTATGGACATTAATGGATACACCATAGATGTTGCTTGTGTTTCTTGTCAACTTCATCTATGGATTAGACAGTTATTTGACATTCAGTCAGCTCGCAAATAAGCACTCCAACTTCGCAGATCTAAGTGTCTATACATGTCATAATATATGCACTAGAACGTCATAGAAAAGGCATATATAGTATCTTCCTGACACTTGAAATTCGTATTTGCAGTTACTCAAATGAGAAATCAGAGGCGCGGATATCTGAAGAATCATCAGAAGCTAAATCTGATTCATCATCGAGTAAATTGCCCGAGGTACTGGTCCAAACTAAACTGCCCTCTTCAATCTTGAAGTTCCCTCACTTTTAATGCACTAAAGCTTATTCTTCTGTTTGCATTTGCAGGATTAATCAAGCTACACAACTTAACAGATTCGTAAGTTTTATTATCAAGTTATAGTAAATAATTAGCCAGCCTTTGAGAAACCTATTTATTTAGGAAATTAAAAGTGTGTGTATATATATATATAGCCTGTATGTACTCTCCTTGGCCTTATCCCTTGGTGAATGAAGGAAGATATAAAAAGAGGAGTTTAGTGTAACATAACTCAGTCAAAAGCATATTCATCATCTATACAAATTTATCTTGATGCTGTTTCAGCTTGTTATTATTGCTTTCTTTTAGAATCTGTGTATCTTCACGAGGTAGGGTTAAGATTTGGTACTGCTTTCCTTTTTTACCTGTCGGTTAACCGAATTATAATATTTGGTGAAATCAAAGTTTGAGGCGCGTTTTGGAGTATGAAAATCATAAAAAGGCCGGTGATATTTACTCTGTTATAATTTGGCGATTATACTCAGACACTTGATCAGTCAGTTTCGAGATGTATTTTGATAAATAGTTGGTGATACATCAACTAAGAAAATTTCAAATTTTGAGGTGTAATTTGTCTCAAAACAAATATTTACAACTACTATAGTAATCCTTTTTCCACCATAACTATTACTCACAATATACTATATAACATGTGAAACTTTCGGCTCAAAGGGCAGCTCAGTACACAAAGTATCTTGAAATGAAGCCAATTTAGTGAACGAACCCAAAGCCACAAAAAACAATAGAAACTTGCTAAGATAAGCATCGCTTACCCCGTGTATGAAAGTTGGAAGAGGGTGAACATATACACGGTCTAGAATACAACAACAACGCCTCAATCTCAAATAAGTTGACGTCAGCTATATGAATTCTTACGATCTAAAATGTTGCAGCAAGAATACATTTGCTTGGAATGTAGATGATGGAACCAATGCTACTCTCTCTATTGATGAAAGAATTTGTATATAACAACAATCATAATTGAACAACACAAAGTTAAGGTCCTTGCCTCTCATCAGAAAATCTTGGAAGCTGAACCAGAGAGTTAACTCGCGTAACGCCTTCCAATCCTGACCATTTCTGATCTTCTGTCATTGTGGTTTCTTGATCTGCTTCTGCTTCAGCTATTACTCGTTTATAGATATCGCTCTCTTCAGCTGATCTGACAGTAGTGTTTCTCTGTAGAGATGGCTCAGAGTTGTGCCCGTCATCGGATTCAGCAGCAATACCAGAATGGTTACTCTGAAGTGCAGCAGAAGTGAGACATTGCTCCTCCTCATTGTCAGATTCCAAGTCCATCTTTCCATCCAAGAATAAGCAAACAACAGCACAATCATCCATTTTTGAAGTCGGGTACTTAATTTTCCATTCGCGTGCAGCAGAGTCAACTAGGATTCTAGCAGCTGATGATCGTGTAGACGCTGATGACACTATGTCAACCACTTCCTCATTGCTCAAGACATCCCAAACCTGCAATCAAGAGTTTACATTCAGTCACTAGTAGTTCTTTTTCCCATGATAATCTCTGTTTCCTCAACTACAACAACAATAACTATATAGCAATTGTCTTAACCAAGCTAGATCGACTATATGTATCCTCACTGATCAGGCCTCTCTACTTAAGTTCATCTTAGACTAAAAATAGAGATTCAGACAGCTTAACATACCCCGTCAGAAGCAAGAACAATGAACTTGTCCCTCTCTGTAAGAACTCGGTGAGAAAATTCTGGTACAGATATTACCCCATAGTCCTTCACACAAAAATCACCAAATGCTCGAGCCATTGCTAATCCAGGGGCATTATCAAATGGCAACCAAACTCTCTGCACTTCCGGCTCATCTTGCAATGCAAAAACCCGACCTTTACACTGTTTTATCCTCTCAGCTTCCTCTGATAACAGAAATACTAGATTATCTAATAGGAATTCCGAAACGGTTAATCATTAAATCACTATAAAAAGAGACATACTAGGTAAATCAGGCTTCAGATCAACAGTTAACTGGACTGCGACCATTGAATCATTGTCATCCTTTGATGCCAAGATTGCGCGTGAATCACCAATATAGCCCATGTAAAGATTTGAACCCTTAAAACAGAAAAAGAACAATAATAAGCTCAGAAATGGAAGAAGATATAGCATGACAAATGTGACTAAACTTACCTGTTTTACTAGAGTAATAGCAGTACTACCACTGCAAAAGCAATCTAAGTTAGGTTGGGACCTCAATTCTTTGTCCATTGCCTTATAAGATTGAAGAAACGCTTCTCTCCGCTGAGTATCCAGGTTCACTTGATCCTTATCAGGATCCAAAACTTCCGATTCAGGATTCTCGTTGCTGCAATCTGCAGCAGAACCATTACCCTTTGATTCAACTGATTGCAAAAAGGACATTAACTTCAGGGGCAGTACATCCCTTACTTTACGAGCAACAAGATGACCATGTGGACCATGACCATCAAATACACCACAAAAGGTCACATCTTCCGCCATGAAATCCTACATAAGTACATAATATCAGATTTTTGAATGATGCAAAAGAGTTCTATGCATAGAAAGCACGACTTACTTCCCAGACAATCATCGCGTCCTGATTAATGCCTTTACGTCCTTGTTGTGTGTATATGCAAGAAGTACGACTCTTGCCATTAGTAAAGATCCGATTAGGAATTGAACTTAGATGCTTCAATGCAATGACATGATCAGAAAAAGTTCTTCTACTCTTTTTTCGACTAAACATGTTTATTCCTAAACATTCAGGTGAGACTTTTTCTCCATTGCTCCTGCTACTACAAGTACTACTGCTCGTCGATACACAACCTCCCATTATGCTCAGACTGACAAAACAACCATCTGATTGACAGCAAAGCTAATAAAATGGATCTCACAGGATGCACAGATCAGATTTATGATCAAGCAAAGCAAACCAATGTTGAAATGACTAAGCTCTCTTTATCCTTTAGTCAAATATCAATTCAGTCAACTGAAAAACAAGCTAAACAAAAGAACAACAAGAAGAAGAAAATATTAGTTAATGAAATTGTTTATTTAAAAGTACATAAGAAGATGGAAATGCCAGCAAGTATAGAAACCAGACTAATCAACCAAATCATTGTTTAAAGGAAATTGCATGTGAGCTATGAATAAAATATACTCCCCCTCCGTTTTATTCGTTTGTTTTACTTTCCTTTTTCGTCTGTTTCAAGAAAGAAAAAAAAAGTCTCTTTTCTTGTTTTGGTAGCTCCTCTAATTCTAACGTTCCACGTGACATGTTTTTGATCATAAAAATTAAAGAATAGTCTAGTACAGTAAACATAGATTCAAGAATCTTTTTACTTTCTTAAACTCAGTATCAACTGTCTATCTCTATTTATACAAGTCAAATTGATAGAAATTATGGAGTCATTCATCAATAAAAAGACAATGAAGTTAAGAAGACATAAAGCATTGAACTTTGAAAAAAAGAACATTAAAAAAGACAAGAAAAACAGGAAACAATATGCCCTCATAAGTTGGCAAGGCTTCACACTTTTCTATAGCTCAATTACCAAAAAACTCGCATTTGGCCATAGATTTAAAATTTTATCTTTAAAATTTTATCTTTAAATATCTGTTCAATCGTGAAATTTGATCATATTACTTCGTATTCTTAAGTTTATGACTTTAAAATCTAGTATCAAAAGGAAGCTCAAGGAATGCTACTATAAAGAAGAGAAATATAGATTTGTGTACAAAAATGCAAAATTTTTAGCCTTTTCGGATTGGGTAAAAACTAAAGAAAGTGAAAAATGTAAAGATAAAGAAAAGAAAACAGTATCTTTGGGGACACAAAAATGTCAAAAGCTCCAAAAGCAAAAGTACACTAAATTAAGCAAAATAATAAATAAAACAATTTAGTACAAATAAATCTAATCTCAGCTACACATCACAAAAACCAAGTGGCTAAAAACCACAAAACAACATAAAATACAAAAATCATTTAAGCAAAAGAATTGACACCCAAATTGTAAAAACTAGAAAATATAGCATATAGAAATGATAAAGGACCAATAAGTAACTTTTAACACAAAATTATTTCTGGGGTTTGAGTAATCCAGAATTAACACAACAATAATAAGGAAGGAACAAAATTATTCTTGCAATCTTGATCAATAAAACTATATTTCTTCGTATTTTATCTGTGAATTGCAATTTATTTTTTATCACTTCAAAAAACGCTTTAAAATTGAAGAAAATATGGATACATTTAGTAATAGCAGTACCTTTTCAACTTGTTAGGATTCAACAATTCACTTCCAATTAGTATATGAATTCTCTCTCTCTCTCTCTTTTTTCTTTTTAAAAAAATTTTAAGAAAAAATAGGGAACAAAAATAATATAATAGTAAGAAGCAAGAGAGCTGGCACATTAATTGTACAAGCACAAAGTAGGAGACATTTTTAGCTCTCAATTTTTCTTTTTCACTTTCCAGCATCAATCTTATATTTTTTAAAACCATAATTAAAAAAATTTAAATTCACGCGTTGTAAGATTTATTCTGTTTCCAAACCTCATAATTTTCAACTATTACATTGATCACGAGGCCTATAAAATACATTACTATTACTTCATGCATTGTAAGATTTATTCTGTCTGCAAATCTCATAATTTCCAACTATTATATTGATCACGAGGCTATAAAATACATGACTATTACTTCACGCATTGTAAGATTTATTCTGTCAGCAAACTTCATAATTTTCAACTGTTCCATTGATCACGAGGCCTATAAAATACATTACTATTACTTCACGCCTTGTAAGATTTATTCTGTCTGCAAATCTCATAATTTTCAATTATTATATTGATCACGAGGCTATAAAATACATGACTATTACTTCACACATTGTAAGATTTATTCTATCTGCAAACTTCATAATTTTCAACTGTTACATTGATCTCGAGGCTATAAAATTTATTATTACTTCACGCATTGTAAGATTTATTCTGTCTGCAAACTTTATAATTTTCAACTATTACATTGATCACGAGGCTATAAAATACACGACTATTACTCATGTATTGTATTTCTTATGGAAGTCAAATTATCAAATGGATATGTGAGTTAATTTAGTCATGCAATAATAATGACCTTCAAAAGTATATATTTAATTTTTTGGGTCCAATTGACAAGTGTTCTATTATTTTTGGGGTCCAATTCACAAGTATATTGTTGTCCAACCACAAACCCCAGAACTACTCTCAAATTTATATTTTTCGTCTCAAATTACTGATCGTTTTAGATATTTAAAACAAAATTAATTGTTTGTTTTATTTTATTTTATTTTTAAAATTATTTGCTCTTGAGTATTACTACCACTTTAATAAAGAGAAATTGTACTCTACTTAACTAAAATATAGTTTTAAAAAAAAAATCTATTTTGAAAAATATGTAAAAGAGAAATATAACATATTAATATTAGTATGATATTGGACAACTTGTACCTGTCTAGCTGTGGCCATTTCATGAGTGGACCAAAAAAAAGTGTCTTTTTCCCACTAAATATATTCTTTTTTACGTTATTAAATCATGATAAATTAAAATAATTTAGTATAAATATTGACGGATAATAAAAATTTTTAATCGTTTTTATTAATCATTATCTCATAACCCAAGTGAAAACCATCACTTGATGAGGACCTAAGTTTTGGGCTTGCTTGGGATAGAAACTTGGATCGACAGAGCCGATCCAAGTGAAGATCACCACTCGAAGTGTTAGATCCGGAAATAAGCAAGTGTAAATGCGGAAGCGAGCAAAGCAAATCTCAAAAGATCACGAGTAAGAAGACAACGAGAAATATACCAAAAGACACAAAGATTTAACGTGGTTCGGTCAGTCGACCTACGTCCACAAAGGTAATGAGCAATCCACTATAAATATGAGAGTACAAAATACAGAGAGAAACAACCTCAACCAATTCACTCGAAATATATGGGAGGTTCACACAAGTGATAACGTATCAAGCTTGTGACCAATAAATTCTCTCCCTAACTAAAACTCTCAAATCCTTTAAGACTACATTGTGAATGCTGATTAAGTTAGAAGGAACATACCTCTATTTATAGAGTCCTAAACATTTTCCTACCAGAAAAAGGATTAGTCAATCCAAAACATTTTCCTAAAACAAAAACCTATTTATAGTAAGAAATTTAGGACAAATTAAACCCAACACGAAGCCCGGAGGTTTGAGGAGCAATCCGAAAAAGGAAAAGTCATGAAAATGATAAACACGCTAAATATAATCGAGTCCCAAAAAAAAAAAAGAGAAAGGAGACTAAATTATTGGGCTTGCTTGTGACATATTGGACTGGACCAAGTTTTCATGCTTGGGCTAATTTCTTGATTTTTTCCAGTCCAAAAAAAAATGATATCCAAACCATTACCTAAGATAATCTGTGAGATTACTTTTTCTTAAAAAACGCGGAGTTTAATTCATTCTGTTTTACAAAGATATGAATATTCCTTACTCATTCGCAATGAGAAAAAATAATTTTTATCATCCAATCCATGAATAATCATTTCTAGCTTTACTTAACCTTATCGCTTCTAGAGATGTTTTAGTAACATATTCTATAGGAATCAGACAATCTTATCTGACTAAATATCTAGCGATAAATTTCTATATTATTATAATAGCGATATTCCTTTCATAGATTCTATTAAAACAGGTGTCACAATCAGATTTATATAGAATTAAATATAAATAGAGAAAAGGGAGAAAGAAAAATTGGTCAAAAAAGATGATGAAATAATTATTACATTGGAACCCAAAATTTGTAAATTGGACTGATTCTATAGTCAAAATTTGATATCCAAACAATTATACCTAACATAAATACATAATATGTAAGACCAATTCCCCTTGACTGGGGAACTTTCTCAAACAATTATTTTAAAAAGATAAATAAATAAATTAAAATTATAAACTAATAAAGGAGATTTAATAAAACGAGAATCTTATTCCCTTAATCTAGCCAATAGTTATCTTTTTTCTTCAAGTTTCTATAGCAAGAATATTCTTGTTTTAATTGTTGCCTTTTAATTTATACAATATATTTTTCTTTTTATAGTTTGTCGCAAAAAAATGTTATGTTATTTTACGTGAAATAACTTAAATTTAACAAGATAAATTTATGATCACAGAAATATTTATTACTTGTTTTTAGTCTATATATTTTAAGTCTTTTTTTTTTTAAGGTCATGCTTGTTAGGGGCAGATCTATGGATGGCTGTGGAGGTGCCACGACATTCACTGATTTCGAAAAAAATTATATATATATATGTGTGTGTGTATGTATGTATGTATGTATACATGTTTAAGAAAACGAATATATATTTTCTTTGTCACCCATTTAATAAAGTTAACAGTTTAATTGGCAAAGTAGATAATCTGCCACATAGACAACACCAGTTTAAACCTTATTGGCAGAATTAATTTTTGGAATTCTTTCTTTCTTTCTATTTTCTTTTCTTTTGTCTTTTTTTTTATTAATGTGTGAGTTTTTTTTTCCTTTGTTTTGTCTCTTTATTTTATTTTATTAATGTGTGATTTTTTTTCTCCTTTCATTAATTCTTATTTATTTATAAGTATTCTTTGTTAATTCAAATTAAGTTTTAAGTTTTTTACTTTCTGTTTCACTAATTATTAATCTCTTGATATGAGTAGCGGATTTGTACTTTATCAATTAAATTATGAATGTGACTTACATATTATAAAGAATATATTTAAATAGTAATTTTAAAAAATATAAATTTTTAAAATGATGAATATTATTATTAGATTTCTTTTAATTTAAATTCGATCTTCATCAACATTCTTGATAAATAAGATGACTAGATTGAAACTAAAATTTGTATTCTCTTTTTTATGTTTTGCAACAATATATCAAGTTAATGGAATATGAATATATCGAGTTAATACTATTAGATAGTTCATACAAGATCAAATTTTAGTGCAAAAAAATCTTTTTTCCTCAAAGTTTCAGTGAATAAGCCACTATTCCTAAAAAGAAGTAAAAATTGAATTGTTACTTGGCTCTTATCTCATAATATCTAAAAGAAAATATTACTAACATGCATGTGTGATCGATTTGTTTAAAAAGATCGAAGAGATAAATAACTTGATTGTAACTCAAAAATAAAGCAATCGACCCGCTTATCTTACTTGAATAATGTGGCACCCAAGACCTTCAAATCCTAGATCCGCCTCTGATGCTAGTATAATACCGTTACACACTACAATAATAAAGAATTTTGCAACAATAATATAATTGCCGCTAATATTGTATTTAGCGATAACAATAAATATGAATATTTTATAATCCACACTTTATATAAATGTAGTTAGAGGCTTTAGCGATGTAATAATATGCGTGACGAAATCGGCCAAAAAAACATGCAGGATGTTTTCGAATTTGTGACCACTCAGGGGCGGACCACATGTGGGTTCCAAGGAGTTCACCCTAACTCCATCGATAAAAAATTACACTGCATATATATAAATAGTAAATTTTCTATATTTATATAGATATTTTAGTTTTGAACTCTCTCGTGAATAAAAGGCAAGTTATAGTGTTGTGGTAAATCTCCTTTAAAATTGATCCTGTGTTCTTGGGTTTGAAACCCATTCTGAACCTTTTATATTTTTAGCTTCTCGTCATTTAATTTCACGATCAATCGCTCATATTTTTTAAAAAAAATGTATTTTTAGCATCTCCTCATTTTGTGTCAGGACCAATCTTTCACTTTTTCATTTTTTGTAAAAATAGAACATGCTAAAAGTTCTCTCCTAATGGAACTAACTTTTCGTATCTATAAACTATATACTATCACTTTTTTGAAAAGGGATAATGCACAACTATCCTCTCAACATATGTCCCAAAATTTCAGAGACACACTTATACTATAGTAAGGTCCTATTACCTCCTGAACTTATTTTATTAATAATTTTTTAACCCCTTTTGATCTACGTGGCACTATCTTGTGGGGTCAATGCTGATTGACTTCTTTTTCCAAGTCAGTGTCACGTAGGCCAAAAAGGGATAGAAAATTATTATAAAATAAGTTCAGCGGGGTAATAGGACCTTAGTATTGTATAAGTGTGTCTCTGAAATTTCGGGCATAGGTTGAGGGGGATACTTATGCATTTTCCCTTTTTGAAATTGTGTTTTGTTGGCTTATTCACATGTTTATACTTTTATGTTTTTTCAAATTATGAAAAAAGTCCTGTATCCGCCACCGATGACCCTTATTTGAGATATTACATGTAAGTTCAACTGACACAATTTTCCTTGTAAAAGACTATATTATTTATATAATACGATTAAAAATTACCTCTATATATTACTAGATGAATCTGTTGATGAAAAAATTATTGA